GATCCAGCTATCCTGCTCCTTGGAGTATATCCTAGAGAAATAAGAGCCGTCACATGAATAGATACATGCACACCCATGTTCATTGCAGCACTGTTCACAATAGCAAAAAGATGGAAACAACCTAGGTGTCCATCAGCGGACGAATGGGTAAACAAACTATGGTATATCCACACAATGGAATATTACGCAGTGATAAAGAACAACCATGAAGCTGTGAAACATCGTATAACCTGGTGGAAGCTGGAACTTATTATGCTGAGTGAATTTAGTCAGTCAGAGAAGGATAAATACTGTATAAGACCACTTTTATAAGAACTCACGAAAAGGTTTAAACAAAGAAGAAAACATTCTTTGAGGGTTACAGTGGCGGCGGGGAGTGAGGGTTATTCACTAGATAGTAGAGAAGAATCATCTTAGGTGAAGGGAAGGACAGCACACACTACAGGGGAAGTCAGCACAACAGGACTAAACCAAAGCTAAGAAGTTTCATGAGAGTAGTAGGGATGGGGTGTCTGGGGACCAAGCTTTCAGGGAACATCTAGGTCAATTGGCATAACAAAGCTTATTAAGAAAATGTTCTGCATCTTACTTTCGTGAGTGGCGTCTGGGGTCTTAAAAGCTTGCAAGCGGCCATCTAAGATGCATCAATTGGTCCCAACCACCTGGAATAAAGGAGGATGAAGAACACCAAAGACACAAGTAAAGTATTAGCCCAAGAGACAGAATGGGCCACATAAACCAGAGACTTCATCAGCCTGAGACCAGAAGAGCTAGATGGTGCCAGGCTACCACCAGTGAATGTCCTGACAGGGAACACAACAGAGAGTCCCTGATGGAGCAGTAGAAGGATGGTGTGCAGAACTCAAATTCTAGTAAGAAGACCAGACTTAATGGTCTGACTGAGACTGGAGGTAGGTACCCTGGAAAGCATGGCCGCTGGACTCTCTGTTAGTCAAGAGCTAAAACAGTTTCTGAGGCCAACTCTTCAGAAAGGGATTGGACTGGACTGTGGGACATAAAGTGATACTCATGAAGAGTGTGCCTCTTAGTCAAGTGTATACAGGAGACCAAAGCGGCAGCTTCTGTCCAGAGATGAGATGGGAAGGCAGAGAGAGGGTTAGGAGCTTGTTGAATGGTCATGGGGAATCAGGGGTGAAAAGCAGTGTGCTGTCACAGAATAGAGTGAGCAATTAGAGTCTCAAAACAATGTATGTATAAAAATTTTGTATGGGAGACTAACTTGAAATGTAAACTTCATTTAACTACCAACAATAAAAAAAATTTTTTTTGTTGTAAAATTAACTCATTGTTAAAGCAACATAATGGCAAGATGTCTTATTTTACTATCAAACTACTTGCATGTTCAGGTTTAACATTAAGTTTTAGGTCTAAATTTAGGGATAATGGCCTAAATTTAAAATACCGATTTTTATTATTATTTGGTATAAAAGAGTCTGTTTATTTAATAGTGCTTATTTGTTGATTAATAATTTAAAGCCAATTTTAGAGTAACAGTTGACCAAGACTGCTGCCTACTTTCTGCTCTTAAGAACTGGCTGTTGTTCTCAGCATTCCCCTCACAGAGAGGTTCAGACTTGTTACTCCCCCTTTCTATTTTTTATTTTCTTTACTGTTTTTTTTTTGTTTAACTCATATGCATTTGTTCCACTTATGCGTTATAAACAAAATCTGTAAGCAGAAATAGGATAAGGCAGGAGATAGGGATAGATTTCTAAGGGACCACTGAATTTGCAGTTTCATACTTTCAGAGAAATCATGCTTTGTGAAGCATTGTCTTCTGTAAGAAAATACATTGATACGGTATGGTTCCCCAGTGTTTTATGAAGATTTTTTGTGGACTTAGCTAAACATACTCATAGGGGTATGTTCTTTTGTCCTGTTACATTATATTATATGTTTTTATTTTATTTCAAAAACAGAATCAAAATATGAGGGGAAATGGCAGAAAACAGTATCAAGACTCCCCTAATCAGAAGAAAAGAACAAATGGTGTTCACAGTCAGTCAGCAAAACAACAGAATCCCTTGATGGTAAGATTTAAGGCTCCCATGCTAAGTAGGAGTTGAGACTTCTTAAGAATGGGGCAAGGGCATTGTGAAGGCACAGTATGTAATGTTATTTGCCTTGCTCTAGTTTTAAATAATATACTGATAAGATTTTGTGGTGCTAAATTGTGCACTATTCTGTTCATACACTAAAAATCTCTCTTTTGCCACTTTTAAATATAAGCGTAACATTGATTCAGTTGTACATCTAATCTTTGTTTTTTATGTGGGTATTTACATTCATTTTTATAGTATGAAAAGAATATGTAGTCAGCCCTGTTTTTTAGAGTAATTCCTTGGCTATTGATCTATGCCCTAAATAGTCTTTATTATTTTAATTAAGTGAAAAATTTGAGAGCATGGTGTATTTTTTTTTCTTCTTCAAGTTTATACAGTTTAGCAAATAAAAAATAAAAAACAGAACACTGATAGCCAGTGCCATAGGCATTAGACTAGGCCTAAAAAGACAAATAACATTTTTGAGGCATTTCATTCTGTTCTTTGTTCCATTTTCTTTTATTCTGTGCTTTAGAAAGTAATTCACAACAAATGGTCTCACTGCTTATCCATTTTTTTAAGTCCTGATATTTGTTGGATCTTCTTATTGTAGCTTCACCTGTTCTTTCATTCTCAGTGGGTGGTGATAGTAATTTCAAATTTTCAGCAAAAATATTTTATTTGAATTCTCAAGAGCTGTTTACTTTTCATTTAGGGTTTAATGACCTCCACCAGGTCACACATATTACAGATCAGTTTAGTGTCAAACTACTCAGTTTTTTAAAAACAGTTAATGAACATACAGTTCATAAGGGAAGAAACAGAAGTGACTGGTTAAACCTGTGAAAAATGTTAAAATATATGTGTAATCAAAGAATGCAAATTAAAATAGGATACCACTTTCTCCCATCAGATTGGCAAAAATGGAAAAATTGATGATACCTCACTATAGTTGAGAGTCCTGGTGGCATAGTGGTTTAGAGCTTGGCTGCTAACCAAAAGGTCGGCAGCTCCTTGGAAACCATATGGGATGGTTCTGCTCTGTTCTGTAGGGTCACTATGAGTCGGAATTGATTCAACAGCCATGGGTTTTTTGGTTTCAGTGTCAATGAGTGTATTGGGAACACTTAAAATTTGTTAACTGGTACAACTTTTCTAGAAAGCTGTTTCATTATATGTATCAAAAGCATGAAAAAGTGCTTACCTATTTTCCCTAGAAGGGGAATTTAAGAAATATTTAGCCTATTACTTTTTTATAATAATGAAAAAATGGAAACAACCTGTATCTCCAAGAAGATATTAAATGTGATACCATAGATTAGATTCCTGGATAGTGTTTAAAAATTATGGTGTGAATTTATGGAAAAAGGAATATGTTCACCATATATTTAGTACATTAAAAAGGTCAGTTTCAGCACAGTAATATGTATAATTCTATGTAAAAATTACACCATTGTGTAAAAATACACATAGCTTCATAGAAAAGAAAGCTGGAAAAGATGTATACCGGAATGTTAATAGCAGTTATCTCTGGGTTGGGAAATCTAATTAATAATTTTTTTCCCTTTTTTCTACAATGTAAATGTAATGAAGAACCAAGAGAATTTTAGGCTTAAAAAATCAGTAAATAAAAAATATAAGAAAAGTACCAATGAGAAAATGGGGATGGCGACTGTAATTCTGATGCAGTTTTCTTCCTGGGAAATTTAATAATGTGTCTCCTGATTTGTAATAAGTGAAATAACTGAAGATAGTGTGTTCTCTGTGTCTGTTTTTTAAAATAGAAATGTGAAAAAAAATTTCATCCACGAAAACTTCAGGATAATTTTGAAACAGGCAAGTCAATTTTCTGTCATTTTAAAATCTCTTCTTGTGGGATTTGGTTTGGTTTTGGCCTAACTGTGATTTTAGATAGGAAGATTAGCACATATTCTGCAGAGAGAGTTCATATATGTCGTCAAGTTATCTTAATATGAAATTGGCTAAAATGAAAATATTTAAATGATCAAGATGAAATTATTTGCCCTTCTAATGTGCTGTTCTTTTGTGGCTATCAAACTTCTATGCTATGTATGAGTATTGTAAATAAATAATTACTTAGGGGTTAAAGGGAGAGTAGAACCAAGTATTATAAAGCTGAGGATATCTAATTCTTGCATATTTGTAGGGGGAGAACTAACTTCAGAGGGGAAACATTTTTGTCTTGTTTTAGAGGTAATGATGGCTAACGTTTTAAGGTGGTGCTAAAGATAGCTTTTATTAAAGATAACACTTGCAGCTTCTCTTCCTCATGTATCAAACATAAATCTGTGATCTGATTTGGAAAGTAATGATAATGTAGAAAGCTCTTTGGTAATATGGATTTAATAGATGTCGTTTGGAAGTACAGGAGACTGTTTTTTCTTAGATGCTATTTTGAATTGTATGAAATTCCCTATGAAGTAGATATGTATTGTTCACCATCCTAATTTAAGGCTTTCATATAAAAAAGTCTAAGAAATGAGAAGCAGTATAATTGTATTGCTTTTCTTGCAATCCTCCATATGACTTAAGGTAAAAGCTATCTTACCTTAAATTTTAAAAGATGCTTTAACCCTATTACGGAAAGTTAAGGTTAACTATGAAGAAATAGGAACTGTCATAGTTTAGTATAGAAAAGTTACAGGGGTAGATGTCCTCTTAATAGGACTTTCCTGGCCACCTTGGGTGATAGGGAAATAATTGGCTAATAGTAAAATCCAATTAACATATCATCAGAAATATTTCATAGAATCTTTTTAAAGCTATATTTTCTGGAACATTACAGAAGGCACATTATAACATAGTTTATCCAGCTTAGTTGGGCATAATATAAATATATAAATCTTTGAGTTCTCAATCTTGTAAAAGAATTTTAAAAGGTTTCTTGTCTTAGGATTCCTCATTTCAACTTTTCTTTCTGCTTTAGCAGAAACCTCCTTTCCTGGTCAGGTCCCTGCTGTATTTTTTTTAAAAAAAAGGCCAGATAAATTGGAGTTGGGTTATACTATGTTTTTGAAAAATTCGAATTTTTCTTTAGGTTAATGTACTCTCTGAAGACTTGGTAAACTTCAACCTCATTATTCCAGAATTGTGATTTTTACAGTTCTTATAATTGTAATCTTTACAATGCCTACATTTTGATCTCTGTCAGGAAGTTCCCATTATGTTTGCACAATATACAAATATAGGAGGAAGACAAACTTATGCCCCTTTTGAAAGCAAGTGAATGTCAAGGATCTTAAAGGCTGAGGTTAAGATTTTGAAAATTAGTGTAGAAATAAGCAGTAATACATTAGCAGTTTAGGGAAAGGAAGATATCTTTGTTTTTTTAATGTAAAGATAGTGAGTTTAATCACAGAAAATGATTGTTTTGCTTGAATAAGTTCATTTATGAGTAATTGAAAATCATAGAAAATGAAGAAAAAGTACATAAATGCAAACTATCACTTTAAGTTCAAATAATAAAAACAAATGATAAAATAAAACAGTATCTAATGCTGTAAATAGAGATTATATCATTAAAATGGAATAAGACCATGTCGTACAAGTATTTCAGGAGTGAGAGAAATCTGGGGTCCAGGCTGTCTAGCTAGCAGCAGATGGAAAGTTTATACCCTCTTCTACTGGGGCATAACTTTTCTCTACTGTGCCTTTTGTAAAATATAAACATATACTCACTGTAACTCTAAGGCTTTTTTCTTCAGAATGCCTAGCATGCATTTTAAGTTCTTCTCTTTTTGGGACAATGTTGGGTATGTTATTCTTGGGGATTTATTGTGCCCAGTTTAAAGGAAGATATCTTGATGGTTCCATTTAGATTAGGTTCAGAGTATGGAGAGAAAAACGTATACTCTATGTGAGTTCCTTTATAACGAAAGGTGGAGGGCAGGGCAGTATTTGATTTTTTTTCTAAATGACTGAGCTTACTTATTTTGTTTCTTAAACAGATGCTGTATATGACTCACCTTGCTCTGGTGAAGATCAGTTGTTAGAACATGCTGAGGGACAGTCTGTGACATGTAACGGACATTGCAAGTTCCCATTTTCATCCAGAACTTTTTTGAGTTTCAAGTTTGATCATAACGCCATAATGAAAATCTTGGATCTTTGATAGCAGCAAATATGTTATGGAAGTACCAAGATCAGAGACCTGTTGCATTTGAGTGTGTCTTCAAGCCTTACCTTTCTCAGGTGTTTTAAAGAAATGCAGGGAGGCAATGATGTTTCTGAATAGAATGCTCTTTGTTCAGAGGAGAGAGTGGCAAGAAACAAGAGTTTGCACTGTAAATGCAGTCGTAATTTTTTATACAGATGTACCATTTCAGTGTTTGGCTAACTAGTTTAAGTTACTTTTTTGAGGGCATTCTTTCTGTGTGATTGTGGGCTTTATTTTGTATTCTGGTCAAGAAAAGTGTTTGAGTCATCATGAAGTACCCAAGTTAATGGGAATCCTCCATCTACCCATTACAGTGATTGCAATAGTGATTTCCTTATGTTGAGTTTTTTTTTTTTTTAAAAACCCAACAAACACTTAAAATACACAATTATTAAATGAACATGAGTGCTGAAGTATCACAGAAGTCAAGATTGCAGGTCATCTTTTTTGGTGGCATTTTGCGCATTTATCTGCTTTTAACCACTTAGACTCTCTAATCCTCCTCTGCCTAGAGTCTTGTTGAAAGTTTTATTTAGAGCCAGCATCTGCAATATAATGTTCATGTTGAAAATGAACTCTTAGCACTTCATTAAAGGACAGAGTCCGCAGCTTGGAAAGGGATTGCGTTGGATGGGTGTGCCGCATGCCATCAGGAAACCAGCGAGACTGCTGGCGAGAGGGTAGCAGAGAAGTGTGGAGGCTAGGACCCAGCAGCTACTTCGGTCATGCCTTTACCATCCTGCCTCCAGCCCTTTTTAGTATTGTATTTACTACTGTAAAATGATTTTGTTCTTGTGAAAATTTTTTCTATTTTATAGTTGTGTAAATATGTACGTAAAACTGACATTAGATTTTCCATTGCATCTCAATGTTGATAAGTATAAACTGATGTTATATTAGGTTCCAGTTAGCAGTAGTAACAGAGAATGACACGCTTTTATTGGCATGCTGAAGCCTCTGGAGTGAGATAAGAAAGGACCTGCAACCATGTACAAAGTATTTCACTAGGAGAGAGTCAAAACGTGAAAGTAACATGCATAACTCACTCCCAGGAATGCATCTTGTTCTTTCAGGATTCTTAAATCCAAATAAGGGTGGCAGTGCACGTTTTAAGAAAGATTTCAGCTATAATTGAGGACAATCAATCACCAGGGCTTTAAGGGTCATTAGTGTTTCGGGTGCATCTGACCTCATGGAAGATACTTTTTGTAGGGGGAGGTGCACAAGCATATGTGTGGGTGCATCTGTCATGTGGGTTTTTAAAATCTTCTATGTGTGGTATCCACAAAATATATATCTCTGCTCATAAATGTTATTGTAGAAATCTTTGTTCTGTATAGGTAGCCTGTTTAAAAGGGGCTCTATTTAACCCAGTGGGCCTTTTAAAGGAAGCCTCTATTGTAAGGCATTCACTTGGTGTTACTTCGCTTTAGCTTTGAAATGGCTTAATTTTTAAGGCTAAATTCTATTTATTAATGAAAGTGTCACCCTTTTGGTGCTAAGCAGGAGAATTCACAATTTTAGCAGTTAAAATTAGGCTATCTAGAATCTTGGATCTTGTAATGTGACAAATTTGTGAATCCTTCCGTGACTTTTTTTAATGCATTATATGGTTGTGTTTGGAAGCTCTGACTATTTCCAGAAATACAGCTCCTTTGCTTGGGTCTCCTTGAGCCATATTTATAGTTGGTCCCAGCATTCCAGATTTCTGTCAAAATGTTAAAGGAGTGAAAACTTACTTCACCTGGCAGGTAAATCATTGTCACTCATTCACTGTCATCTAGAAACCATTTAATTTTGTGTGTGTGTGTGTGTACGTGTGTGTGTGTACGTGTACGTGCACGTGCATATGCTTTCTAAGTGAGTACTTTGGTCAGTCTTTCTGGTGCCTAGAGTTGATCCTTCAGCTCTCAATACTAAAGCAAAAGAGATTAGTTACCAGACGTATGGCCTTTCATGGTGTTGAGCCTCTTCAAGAACCAATAAATTGTCTCTTTTCAATTACTGGTAGTTTAACTATGGTTAAATGTCATTGCTGTTGTGCTGCTTCATTTAATGCACTGTGGAACAAAATAAGGATATTGTTGGGATGAGATTGTGATAATTTTAGACTTTTAGCTCTCTTGACGGTTTGGGATAAAAAATGTTAAAAGATTAGAGTTGAAGTTTATGTGTGTGATTTGAATTAACTATGCAGAATATGTATAAGTTGGATGTACCTATTTTATGTACATCTGCTGTGTTTATTCCCTTGAACCTGTGTATTAATTTCTCAGTGTTCAGTTTACCTTGAGAAAGGCCATGCTTAGCACAGAAACTGGATTTCTCCTTGAGAAATTTATCATGGTTTGAGGAAATCGAGTGATAAAGGAGTATGCGGAATATGCAATAATTTACTTCCACTGTGTGCTGCATTTTTAGAAGCTAGGTGAGCAGTTGTGTTGACTTCATTATGTTTTTTAAAAATTTTTTATTGTGCTTTAGATGAAAATTCACAGAGCAGATTAGTTTCCCATTCAATAATCTGTACATAAAGTGTTCCATGACATTGGTTGCATTACCCACATGTGTGTCAGCACTCTCCTCCTTTCTGCCCTGGGTTCCTTGTTCCCTTTTGTCAGAATTTTCTGCCCCTTCCTGCCTTCTCATTTTTGCTTTTGGGCAAATGTTTTCCGTTTGGTATTGTATAAATTGATTGTTCTAAGGAACACGTTCCTCTTGGGTGTTATTGTTTGTTTTATGGGCTTATTTGGCTGAAAGGTGGTCTCTGGGAATGGCTTCAGTTCCAGGTCAGAGCCTCGGCCATAGTCTTGGGGGTCCCTCCAGTCTCTGTCAGACTAGTAGGTCTGGTCTTTTTTGTTAATTTGATTTTTTTGTTCTACATTTTTCTCCTGTTCTGTCCAGGATGCTCTGTTGTGATCCCAGTGGCTTCATTATGTTTTGTCTTTGAGAGAGAAATTGGTCTTTGAATTCTCTTTTTAAATGTTTTTTTCCAACCTTAAATGTTCCAAGGTGCAGTGCACTGTGAATCTTTCAGTTTTAAAAATTTTGTAGGTGCTTTTATGTATAACTTTTATGATTTATAGGATGTTAGATGAATTGTTTCTGTACTTAACCATTGTAATCCAAAATTTAGGGGTACTGTTTACATGCTTTTCATGAGTGTATGTTAAGAAACAGCAAATGAATGGTTTTAGGATTTCAAACAGTGATGGTCTCCTGAGAAATGAATATTTGGAGAGGTCCAAGAACCTAATAGAACTCTTTTAACATGGATGAAATTTGATTAGAGGTGTTGGAAAATGAAGTTGTGTGTTTTTGTTAATATATCCAGGTAAGTTTCTTATGTTTTCAAAGGAATTGTGGTGACTGCTTGCTGCTTTGAGCTTTGGAGATCCTTATTTTTCTATTAAATATCAATTAGTAAGTACAGATTTATAGCAAAATTAATTTTATGCTCTAAGATTGGTTGGTACTTTTAAGGCTTTAGTAGTTTGTGTGTAATGTAAAATAGAAACTCAAGTCTATGCGAATAACGTCCTTCCAACGTAGGAATTACATTCTATAAAATTCAGCATATTGTGGTGGTCTCTAGAAAAGGTCAGATCTGAGTGCATGTGTGCATTAAAAACATTTCATCCCTGTTCCCTCACTTACCTATTTTTTTGCTTTCCAACAATTAAACAGTAAGGAGCAAAGTCAGTTATAAAAGTTAGACTTTGTGCCAACTTTTCTTACTATGATGACCTCTCTTGGTTTTAAATCTTTTTGTACCAGTGGACTTCCCCACCTGCTCAGAGATTTTGTTTTGATTGACAATGCTGTTACTTACCTGTTGAAATCTATTGTGTTTCTGTATTTCTCTGAGGCAGTATTTTCCTTGTATATTAATCATAGTTACAATAAAGTTAGATACATTAACATTTTTCTGATTGAAGAAAAATAAATGTTACCTAGTAATTTTGACTTGGATTATTTTCTAGTTTGAAGGAAGGGATTTATATGTATTGTTGTAACTTCAGATTACTAATAAGCAAGACAAAAAGGTATCCTTTACCTTTAAGTACTTGTCCCTAGATAAACAGGTGTTAGAAAAACAGTTTTGTTAATATTTATTCCTGATAGCTTGGAGAAGCCTAGCTAGAGTTCCTCATTTTGTATTAAAGGGCATTTGTATAATTGCCAAAATTCTAAAAATTAGATTATGATGAACTTTCTCAGCATCTTTCTCTTCTTAGAATTGAGTTGCTATTGCAATCTGCATGCCTTGTGTCATAAAGATAGTAGATTGCAAATGAGCAGTACAGGCTCAGTCCCATGCTTTCAAAGCAAGTGTTGGATTGCAGTTAAAAAAAAATATAATAGGCTCTTGTTATAGAACAAAATTGCCCAGAAGGTAGAAGGCAGCTGTAGTTGTTTGGTCAAAGAGTATAAGGAAGGTATTTTAGAAGGCTAGACATGCTTGGCTAGAGTTGTGATCATTGACTAGCCCAAACATAGCCTAATGTATGTGTCCATTACCACGCTTTCCCCAGCTCTGGATAAAATTAATTTTTTTAAGTATGGTTGCCCAGCAATCCAGTGAATCTAAAGTAATTTTTCCCACTTTTTAAAAGACCAGTGTTTAGGAGTGTGGTCCTTTGTGTGCTGATACTTTACAACTCCAGCCACAGTGAAGTGCTCTCCTTTCATATAGAAAGATACGCAGATGTACACACCCAGTCAGTCAGGTCTGTTGACATAGTCATTTTCACAGTGGTAGTTATACATCTCTCTGTCCTGTATAGGAGTGGACTTGAAGGGATGGCCTCCATCAGCTGAGTTGCTTGGACTTTAACATAGTACAAAGAAGTGATAAAAAACAAAACAAAACAAAACAAAAACTATGATGAGTATTGCAAGTCTTTTCTTGAGAAATGTTCATAATCGAAACTTTAATCTGTGTCTCCAGATCAGTGAAATCTCCAGTAAGGAAATTCCATTTATTTTGAGTCTCCTGTGATTAACAGAGGGGAAATTCCATTTATCTTGAGTCTCCTGTGATTAACAGAGGGGATGGTCTAGCTATGACAGTGGCTTGAAAGCGTGATCATCTGAGAGGGATTAACCTTGACAGGGTGCTTGCATTAGCTGTGTTGTGTTGGTCAAGAGTGCTCTGGGAAAGAGATTGAATCCAGAAATCAGTTGCCTGTGTTTGTAACTCTGTCCCACATGAACCATCCTCTGCATAGACCTAAGTCCTTTAGCCCAGTGGAAGTCAGGCCCTGAATATGTATTTACTTTTTGGTGACAGGGTTCTTGGAGGCAGCTGGGTATTTTTGTTTGTTTGTTTGTTATTGGCCACTGCCTGTTGCATGTCGCTTAAAGACTTGTTGTTTCTTAATCAGTTTTTTTGGTGTGTCTGGTGAGGAAGACACTATTGAGTCTTTTTTTCCCCCAATGTGTTTTTATTTGTGCTACAACCCTGTGATAAATCTGTAGGAATTTGTAAGCAGTGGTCATACTCTTCTCCTCTTGCAAAGATGATCTCATTTGGGCCACAAGCAGGTAGGAGTGTGGACACCTGTGCTCTTTGATTCTCCCAATGCATGTAGCTGTCAGATTGGTCTGGGAACAGGAAATTCCTGTGTGGCTCTAGAGGAAATGGGCATTGTTCTGGTGGCCCTCAGTCTTTGAGAGGATGGTGAACTTCTTGAGATAGAATGTAACATTTTTATTTAATCTACTTTTAATTTGTTGATTCTGAGATTGTAAAAATCTATAGCTTCAAATTATGGTGTGAAACATTTTGGGCACAACTTTACATTGTTATTAATTTCTCAAGCTTTAAGAAATTAGCTAGTTTGTTTAAAATGACATCTTGGCTTTTCCTTTCCTGATATTAGGAATAGACTGGCAGCAAAATAAAGGTTATCAACTGTGAATGAATTTAGAAAGGTAATAACTATTCCTCAGTGGTTTGGTTGGTTAGATGTGTTGATGCTTTTGGAACATGAGTAGCAGTGGCCTTGCACTCTTCATGTACTACATATAGGATATGCAGTGATAGAAAAGCACAGAAGACGTATCCGCAAGAGTTTCTTTGTGCATTTTGCTGCTGCCCTGGGCACTTCTGCCTCTACTTTTCATTTTAGATTTGTATTTGGGGCTTATATAAGCAGTCATTTAATTTCAATTGCAAGTATCCAAAGAACTGAGTCTTTAATTTTACTCTTTTGCTTATATTTCAGATTAGAAAGTTAGAACAGGAGACAGCTAAACTGACATCCGTTTTATAAATATTGCAAGCTGTTTTTCTGGAGTAACAGAGAAAGAATATAAAACTTTGAGCTATTTTGCTTATATACATTTTTGCTTGTAAGTTTTGAAGTTTGTTTAATCTTGTAAGGTATTAACCTTATAGTAGTACCTTGTAGAAATAATCTTTGGTAAGTATTGACTCATTCTAGATCTGTGTACAATTCAGACTTAATTTTACCCATTGGCTTTAATGAAAATTTAAAACAATTTTATTTTGGAATAGAATGGTTAGTCAAATGGAATTATAATTCATATATTAGCCAAAACAATTTTCTTGGGAATAAGTTTTAGTCTAAACTCTAAAGATACTTATGTTGAGTCATGCTCAGCAACGTATTTGTGACCTACAAAAGCTGGTAGAAAAAAATGAAATAGTTTCACTAAATGTATGATGTTCAATTGAGAAAACTGGACTTTATAAATCTCAGTAATCATTTGTTTTATGTGAAATGATTTAACATTTAACCTTTACCTAAATGATAGCAGTGTTTTATTACTTCACCTTCTAGGGCATTTTAATGGTCAGAGAAAGACTGTGTAAGTAAAGCATTAAAGTGATTCTGTTCATGGTAGTAATGAAGTTCTTGGAGTTTTTGGTTTATTGTCAAACATTTAGGGAAAGCAGACGAGGAACCAAAAAATACCTGCTGGATTCAACTTGTAGTTATAAGAATTGATATCTTGAGAGTGGATTCTGTGTTCCTGGGTTTATTACATTCTGGCTGAACCATAGCATTGTCTCTTTCCCTCAGTGTTAATGAAAGGGTAAGGAATGATTTTTCACTTATATGAGATTTCTAGTGACTCATGTTTATGAGTTCGATTTAAATGTTCGCTGGATTACTGTACTTCCAAAGAAGACTAGAAGTGCCAGCTGTACTTTTCATTGAGAAAATGAATAAAGTCCTCTGTCTTAACAGGTATTGTAACTTTCTGATGTAAGTATCACCAGTTTAGAAATTAAAAATCTTTTATCTTATAAAATCGAATTGGAGTTATGGAAGTTTTCTCTTGTATTTTGAAACAGTTTTACAATTGATTGTTCAAATTCTGGCTTTCTGTAAAAACATGTTAAATTTAGACTACTTGCAGTGCAATATTAATAAAATCTGCTGCTTTCATCAGTTTTAGTTACTACCTTAACCTTGCTTTTGCTGTTGTTAATAAACAAATGTGAGATAAAGTATGTTTATATAATAGGAATACTAAAAAGTAGAGTCTGAAAAAATGAAAATAAAGAACTAGTATGCATGCTATTTCAAACAGTTTGGTTGTTGCTTTAAAGCAAGATTACAGTGGAGGGCTTGAGATGTGAGTTAGACATGTAAAATACGGTACTTCTTCAAATTCTGCTGTAACCACGTTTTCCAGATAAGATGCTTGACTGTCCTTGCATCTCAGAGGAGGAAGAAATACATTCTTCTCCATTAAAGACCTAAGCTATATGATAGCAGTTTTTACATTAAAAAAAAAAGTGACCAAGGTATTATACTCTTATTACCAATGGTACATGTTGCAAAGCTGCTTGCCATCCTTTTCTTGTAGTCAGATGACTTTCTTGCGCTTCTAATTCTTGATTTTAGTCCCTGTTTGAGCCACTCTTAGAAAGGAAAAAGACCCTTCAGTAGCTAACTTCCCATTTATGGCAAATTGTGAGAATGAAACCAAATAAAAATTGGCAATAAATGAGGTCTCTTTGGCTGTTGGACTTAATATAATCTTAACTTCTGGGCCTCTGCTTGAATTTTTTTTTTTTTTTTTTCCTTTCCGCAGTTGCCGTGGAGGTAATTCTAACTCATGGTGACCCTGTGTGTGTCAGAGTAGAAGCGTGCTCCATAAGGTTTTCAGTGGCCAATTTTGTGGAATTAGATCACCATGCCTTTGTTCCGAGGTGTGTTTGGTGTACTGCAGCCTCTAACGTTTTGGTTAGCAGCCAAGCGTGTTAACCGTTAGTGCCACTTAGGACTCTCCTGCTTTAATGTGAAGCATCACAGGTTTGATATTTCCATGTTAGACAAATAGTCTTACAGAAATCAGCTTTACCGTTAACACAGTTAAAGTACATCATGGCATTAGAAATATTTATTCAGAATATAAGAACGTTTGTAAAATATTATAAATGTCTCTGTATAAATAAATGGAATTTTTTTAAACAATTCTATATCAAATAACACAAAGTAGCTATTTTACAGCAGCTAAAACTAAAGGCATCTGGAAACATTTAAAGCCATATAAGTGAAGAATCTAAAAAATTACAAGGTTTAAGTACAGTGTTAAGTGACAGCTTAGACGTTCAGTACAAACAGTAGAACAATACTGACAAATGCAGACTTAGTCACATGTGCTTTAATAAGTGACAGTACATTCAAGCTGGTTTTTCTAATTCGAGTGGTATAAAAGTAGCACATTTTCAAATAATAAGAAACCTAAATCTCATGCAGAGTAAATAAATCTTGACAAAGTATCTAAAAACTGATTAGAACGAGAAAAAAAAAAGTTAACATATTTCATTCTGTTTGTGTATTAGGTTCAAATAAAAGCAGAGTATTAGGGGCTCTCATTCACTTGGCAGTCCTGCCATGAGCACAAGTGGATACTATGCAAGTTCTACAAACCGAACAGTTTTCCACATAGGTTTGATTTGCAAAAAGTGCAAAAGTGGATGGAGGGCAAGAACGACTAAAGCAGGGCATCAGCGTTCATGTGGGAGATTTTTTATGTAGCTTGCTCTGTTCTGCTGAGCTGATAGATGATTAACAGATGAATGATTGGTACTGCCTTGACCATGTATTACTGGTCAAGGATGTGATTATCCAACAGTAATTGTGTTAACTGGGATAGAAGGATTTTTCTCACTCAGATGCAATGTGATAGAGAATTTATACAATAGAAATCTTAACCAAAAATGTCATGGTCTGCATGTGAACTATTTTCCTCTGGTACTGTATTATTAGCACAAGAATGCATGTAACATAACAGTTGCTGTTCAGCTTGTACCCTTTTCTACATGTTTATATTTTATAACAGCCACTGCGTGCCCAGTGGTGCTGTGTCTCCAGCAGCCAGCATTACATTGATAATTCTGATTCCAGCTCTCAAGTCAGTGCCTGGCACCCGAAGGCTTGTATTTTTTAGTGAAACGAGTTACTTCATTAGGCCACAGGTTCAGAGCTAACCTTAATCTGGTCTATATAAACACAGTTTTAATTAACTAAAAACTGTTTGTGCAGCAGAGGTGTAATTTTTGTTGTGTAGTAAGCTATACCTCTTCTACAAGTTAGTACCCAGCTTCTGGACACAATTAGCAAGCCTTATTAAAAGGTGGTGACCATATCATTCTGTGTCAAATACACCGTTCCATTGTTTAAACAGGAAAACAGTTGCTGTGATTTTTTTCTTTTTCCCAGGATATTTTATAGTTATTCTACAACACTTTTACCTAATGCGGAAAACAACATGTAAATGTTACTTACGTCCCTCCTTCCCCAACCCAAAACAGAAAATTCCTTGGCAACCCTATGGCTCCACAAATTGCAGCCAGAGAAGTTTTTCTCCTTTGGGGGCTCTCTTCACAGATCTGTTTACTACCTCTTGAAGTAGGTACAGCTGTGAACTTATTACACATGATTTTTTCATTTTAAATAATTCTATATGTAGACTGGATGAGTCATACTCCCTATTAGATATTTGCAAATAGTTTAAACTTACGGAGGAAAGGACACTTTCAGAAGTCATTAAGGGCAGTTTTGATGTTTTCTGTAGTCTTGATGTCATATCATTTCATTTAAAACATAAGCATGTCAGCATTAACCCCAAATTCTTGAGAGCTAATTAAAAAATAATGGCTGGATAATTTTTGGGCTATAGGAAACATTCTGAATTCATGCCAATAGCATAGGCAGTCCAGCCCTGATCAGGTAATCTGTATGCAACTAGGAGACTTAAAGGGTTTCAGGTTTTCCTCAGAGTAGTAAAATCCTTACTACTCCTAACAGTTTTTAAGAAAAAGCCCATAGGCTTTAAGTTGGACTGCATGTCAAGGCTCTAATTTAGAAATTTCTGAGATCCCTGTAAAGTATGGCTGCAGGCTCAGAGGAGGACTTAGAAGTACATGCATATGAAAGGACGATTAAGCAATTATGTTTAACTGGTACTTAATTTTTTATTAACATTCCAGTCTTAGGCAGCATGGATATTAATCTTCAGAAACCTGACATACCAGCAGATAAGCCTGAATGTTAATAATTAATTACCTCCATTGGCAAGGTAGTCTCTTTAGCCTGTGACTTTTGCCTCAGTCCATTTAGCTTGCCTCAATTTAGCACAGTTCAGCAGTGGAAAATACACTCCAAGGGAACTGAAATTAGTCCTTTCTCCTCTTGCCCATTTCACCAAGAGCCGAAGGCTGAACAGAGAAGGTGATTGCCTTAAAGGGTAACCACTGAGGAAACTGAAAGAAGACAATTAAAAATATGAAAGTCTGAGGTTTTTAACTTCATACAAGTTAGAATCAAGACTATTATTTGCCCTTGAGGGAGATGTTAATGTAAACCAGCTTCTGTTTAGAGAAAAAATTCAGATAGAGCCAGCTTACACAAAAAGAATTACATTACCCAGGCACCTGCAGTCTTTTATTTAATCAATGCACTTTCAGTAGACTGCGCCACCCCCCCCCCCACAATTAGCATAACCAAGTGCCTATTGCTTCACCTTCGGCAGGGATCAGGCCTTAGAAGTATTTGAAATATCCAAGGAAAAGAAAGAAACCATTTTATAGATCTTTTATTCTACACATTTATAAATGTAACACTTTCACCTGGGAAATAGTTTTCACCCAGTCACCACATATTTAAAAGCATTAGGTTGAAGTATAAACTCAAAATAAGGCCAGGTAGGATGAGTAATACTGGGGCCCAGGTTGGAGGAGCCTCTCATGTCTGGAGGAGTTATATGACCCTATAAGGGTGGGTCTTCTGTTTTAACTTGGAGCAAAAATGGTAGGCAAAGGTCAGCAGGCAGAATTTTATTCCTGCTTCAGCCACATTTTTCATGTACTGTTGATAAAAATGGAAAACTGTCCATTTGGATGCTTGTTCAGTCACGAAAGAGAAAGCTGTGAACAGTTCACCACTGTGCACATCCCAGTTTGCTCAAGGGCAGGCCCTAAGCAAGCTGGGAAAATGGTGTAAACTGTTATTTCATCTACGGAAAAAAAAATTTGTGCATACTATAGCCAAAACATTTTCCTCATGATAAAATGCAAATTTATCCAAAGAGTAAAAATTGATTTAAAAAAAAAAATTGCTTACTACAACCAACTTTGACTAAATGATAGATTCAAACAAACAGAAGACAGACAGTGGGATTCAAACAAACAGAAGACAGACAGTGGGCATTTTCCCAGTGATCAGAGTACTCAAAAGCTGGTCCTTCCAGACTGGTGCTAGTTGACTTTTTTGGATACAGGGCGGCCTCACTGCTAGCCTGAGGCAAAAAAAAAAGGTGATTGCTTTTGGGATAGAAAGCCTCCGCTCCTCCTAGGTGGTGGCTGGCGTAGCCTTCCCCATTGCGTAGAAGGCTGAGGAACTTGTATCATACACACACTCTCAGAACAAACCTTTAGCTCATGGACATGGGGACTCTAACTCAGGGACTGGTCATAAGCAAAAAACTTTAATTTGTAGTTCACTGTGGCATTTGGATATTTCTCGTAGGGGACTTTGGGTAGTCCTCAGGTGCTACAGAATAAATTGCAAGTGGTCCTTTAAAACGTTGTCAGTGTAGGGCAGCTACAAAAGAACTGAAAGAAGGGAGAGGATGATAGAGAAGGCTACAGTAGAAAAGGAATAATGGATTTATTTTACGACAGAGGGCCCTCCTGAAAGCAGTTCAGGTACTTTGGTCCTGCCTAGCCTCGTCAGCATTTTGCTTGAAATTTAACCTGTTGAAACACCATAATCTAACCATCACCATGTCTCGGGGGCGGGGGGGGAAGGAGGCCTTAACAATCATTCTAGAAAAGGACATCATGTTTGGTAAAGTAGAGGGTCATCAAAAATGAGGGAAATCCTCGATGAGATGGATTGATACGGTGGGCTCAAACATACCAATGACTGTGAAGATGGTCCAGTTTCGTTCTGCTTTGCGTAAGGACGCTATGAGTCGGGCCAGATGACAGCTAACAACCACTGCCTCCACCACCATTCCCTCCTCATCGCCTGCCCCCTTCCTTCATGCTGGAAGGGGCAAAGTCTTGAATTGGGATCAGCAGCAATCTTTTAAATAGGTAGGACTAGCCTTGCAGAACATCCAGTACCTACTCCATGTCTGACAAGGCACAGTCTGTCTGTCTTTTTCTCTCAGAGACAGGTCCAGAGCTACGTATGTATTCATGTGGATAAGTTTTGATTCATACAAAATAGCAATTAATGTAGTGCCCTGGGCTGGGGGGAAAAGTGCTAAAAAATGCTTCTCTGCTTTTGAGGAAACTCCTGGTAAAACTTTAGTTCCATTGTACCTGTCAGTGGGATTCTAATTCTTGACTCTGCTGGGAAGGAAAAAACCCAGACTCAAAAGAGTTCCCTTTGCAGCCCTTGCCTCCAACATGAAAGGTGAAGGAAGATTTTATTTTCTCAATACAAAACTGTTCAGGCTGGGGCTGCAGTACTTGTAACTTCAACATATCTGGGAATTTAAAGACACCATGGACTATCTATCTCCCTGTGATCTGAAACTCCAGGACAGCTTGTATCTTGTAGTTGATACATGGAACTTGAAAACCAAAGCCTTGCTGCAGTAAGAAAATCAGCAGTTCTATTAAATGCCGGAGTCACCCTGTGTGTGGGTGTGTGCGCGCGTGTCAGAGTTTTGCCCTGAAGGAGCAAAGAGGAGAATTTGAGGATGCCAGAAGATAAACCCATTGTCTACAGAATGAGAAGAGAGAAAAAAAGGAAAATCCTATAAAACAAATGGCTGGGATCCCACTGATGCACAGTCTCTTGAAAACACAAGGAGAATGAGAACATGAGTGCTGAAAGCAAAAACAAGGTACTACTGCTAAGCATGGCACACAGAACATGTATTTACATACCATCTGTGGGCCTGGGAGGGGAGAAACAGCATCCTCTCTACATACAGTCCACACAGTGTCATCAGGGCCGCTCGCCCCAAGGGGCTGAGTCTATGGCACTCTACTGTCCAAGTGCTGACCTACCTGCCAACCTTCCCTTTTCTGATTCTCCCAATAGGTACTCTGCCCCCAAGGGCCCTTCTCCCCTTAGTGGCCTGCTATAGTTTAACTTCTACAGGCAGAACTTTGATGCCTGAAAGCCTGTTAGAGTGAAGTTTCATTGGTGTGTGGCCTCGAGTTCTCCTCCTCCAGCAGAGCTATTCTTTGCTTGAGCATCCTCACTTGGGTCTCATGTCTTTCCACCATGGCCATCATCTGAGACTCCAACTTCTTCAGTTTGTTTTGATGCTTCTTCTTTGCTTTCTCATAGGCAGCCACTAGGTTGCTGTATGGGGATGGGAGAAATGAGAATGAAGATTCATCCTGAGTAGCATTGAGGCACACTGTCCTGTCCCACTGGGTAACCAGGACTGTTAAGCACCACTCTGAAGAAAGAGAGGCCACTCAGACTCTTCATGAAGAATCTGAAATCACGTGGTTAGAAGAGGCATAAAACCAGTATTTTAACACTAATGGCCGTTCATTTGTTGGCTTAACCGTGATTACTTTAACACAACTGCTGGGGACTTGCACTCTAACACATTAGGAAGGGTTTTGCATATGAGTCAAAACCAACTATTCAAACTAGCCTAACCCAAAATACATAAGCAGAAAAGGTACCTGAATTCCAGAAATGTGTTACTTAAATACAGATAGGCTAATATATTGTTCCATGGTTGCTTGCAACAGATGGTCACATTTAAGTTACAGGAGCGTGTCCTCCAGCTCCGCAGTCTAAGTGGCCTCACTAAGGATGAGGGCAGAGAGGCTCCTCTTGCTTTGACTCTCCGTATGTTTTGGGCTGGTGGGTTCAGAGCATTCAGTTAGGCCATAAGCTAATGTTTCCAGCCAGCGTATACACGCCTCTGTGAACTGTTCCCCTGGGAGCCTGGACTCAGCCCGGGGATAGCTAAGTCCAGTCTTATTACCCCTCCAGCAGCAGTTCTGAAAGTGTGGTTTGAAGACCCCTGGGGATTCCTGAGACTCTTCCAGGGGTTCTTCAAAGTCCTTTATTTTTCAGCCGTATATTGGTGTGAGGCTGGGTTTTCTTGACATATTTAAGCCAAAACAATATATTGAATTCAGAAGCAGATATGAGAATCCAGCAGTCTTCTGTTAAGCCAGAAATTCAAGAGATCTGCAAACTGTAAAACAGTGCCACTCTTAAAATATAGAGAAACCAAACCTCATTGGTTACCAGGGGTGGGATGGAAAAGGGGGAGCTACTGCTTAAGGGGCACTGAGTTTATGTTAATAATGGTGGGATAATTTGGAAAAGGATAGTGATAATGGTTGCACAACATGAATGTAATCAGTGTCACTGAATTATACATGTGAAAGTGGTTGAATTGGCAAATGTTTTGTTACGCATATTTTTGCCATAATTAAAAAAACAGCGTCACTCTTCTCATCTTTTTTTGGAAAATTGTTTTCACAGAAATGCCATTTGTGTCGCATGTAGTAAATTTGTAGTAAATTTATCTGTAATTTGTCCATTTTAATTTCTAATAAAGATCAATTTACATATACAAAAGCTCTTTTGAGGCCCTCATTTTTTAATGAGTTTAAAGGGGTTCTGAGGTCAAATGGTTTGAGACCACTGCCTTAGAGCAGTGATTCCTAATGTGCTCCACCAGATATTATAAACTGTTGGTCAAATAAAAGGTTCAGTAACCAATTTTGTGTTTTCTAGTGTGTGACTTCTCAGAATGGTTACTATAGGAAATACCAAGAGGGGACCACAGTATGCAACATGTTCCTAATGTCTTTGGCCCGAGGACCCATCTTCACCAAGCCTTTCTTAGGACTTGTACTGTGGAACACCTTAGGAAGTGCTGCTAAGGAAGACCAGGTTCTGAAAAGGGCACTGTCTAGAGTTAGCTCCCAGGAGTTATGGAAATGTTCTCCCTGGTACAGTGTTTACATGTGGCATCAATCCAAGTACCACTGGGGATCTGTCTACAAATGGAGATTTTTACCTGTTGGCCCGTTTTAGGTCATTAACAAACTCTGCTGATTGCTGGTGTCTGATCTCACTGCTCTTGGTGAGTCTTTCCAAGGCGCTCACCAGCTCTTGTACTCTGGCCTTCAACTTCTTTTCTCTGGATTAAGGAGAGAGAACACAAGCTGAGTAACTTGAGATGGTCATGGGGGTGTCTACTACCCCAACAGTGGGTGGTGGGAAGGAGGGGGAAGGTGTAGCTTGCCAAGTCAAAAGGCAAGAGTATGGAAAGGAAAATTCTAAAGGGCCCAGAGCTCCACTCTGCCCTTAGTAGAGCAGGAATACCCCCTTACCGCTGCATTCTCACAAGCCGGCTGAGCCTGTTCCTTTACTGATAGGGCCCTTTAGAGATCTTAAATACGTGTCACAAAGGAACAAGACAGGAATTTCTGTTTGTAGTCTTCCCGGTGGGGAAACTAATCTGTAGAAGTTAGTTTTGCTACTGGCACACCAGACCCTCAGGAGGCAATGAGTCAGGCTGACCACAAACCCGTCTCCCTCCTTTTCCCAAGTGTGCTAAGCACCTCCTGAGCCACTAAGGGATTCAAAAATGCTTCTATCTTCTCTGGACTGCCTACCTTGGACAAATCCATACTCATTAAAATCAACCTGATCCTACCTTGCAAAAAACAAACAAAAATGGTGGTAGTGGTAGAGGAAGTGGAATTGTGTTATACTTTCTTCATTTTAAAAGCCCTTGTTTGCCTTTGGAGCCTTGGTGGCACAGTGGTTTAAGAGCTTGGCTGCTAACCAAAAGGCCGTTCGAATCCACCCGCCACTCCTTGGAAACCATATGGGGCATTTGTACTCTGTTCTATAGGCTCACTATGAGTCAGAATCTATTTGAGGGCAATGGGTTTGGTTTTTTTTATTTTTTGTTTCCCTTTAAAGAAATTATATTTGCACTTTCATCTGACTGCCCTCACTCAGGGCTGAAGAAGCTTCAAGTTCTGTGGATTCTTTACTACTTTACTAATCTAAGTAATTGACTTCTAGGAGTCAGTGAAGAGAGGCTTTATGTCCAGTCAGCTTCCTGCCTTCCTCTAACTCCACCAGAGCATAAGACCTGGGCAGGGAAACTTGAATCAGTGGCGTTCCCTGACCACCCTGCCTCCCCCTTTATCACATTCATCACACTTAGCACAATCTATGATTACAGCGAAACCTCTGAGAGGCAGAACTTGATGGGACTGCCTTGTTTTTCTGGGTCTTGCAAGTTTTCTGACTTTTGCAAGTTTTCTGACTTTGACAGGATACAGTCTTAACCACTTTTCTATCACTTGTTTTAGTAGAAAATATTTGAGTTTTCCTTCTCTGACAATTTACCACCTTATACAGGTTCTGGCTTTCACAGGTTTTACTGTATCTGTTACATATTTGAGCTCACTGGGTTCCCCTTTAGTACCTAGGCTTGAGGATGGAAAGGGCCTTACTTGGTTTGGTTCCCCATCGTGTTCCCAGTGCTGGACGCAGTACCTGGGTGACAGCTTCTCAGTGATGATGGTGGTTAAGAAAGCTTTAGGACAACTCACTTGCTGAAGGTTTTGCCTGCCGGGAACATACTGAGAGACCAGGATTTACAGAAGGGATTCCTCTAAAAATGACTCTGAGTGTGTGAAGAATGTAAATTAGCACAGTCTTTTTGTAAGGTGAGTTGACAGTGTCTAGCAAGATAAAAAATGACTTGTTTGACCAAACAGCTTGTAGGAATTTATCTTACAGAGACAGAATTAGCACAGGTGACTAAGGATACATTAGATACAGTTGGGTTCACTTCAGCACTGGTTACAAAAAAAGAATGGGAATCAGCCAGGGGACTTGTTGAGTTCATCAGGGATATCCATACTGTTGAAATGCTCTGCAGTTGTTTAAGAAAATAAAGACTGACTTGCACTAGCATAGAAGGGCATCTAATATATTGTTACGTGAAAAGAGTGATGCCATCTTTTTAAAAACAACTAAAAATTAACTTAGAGAGTGCATATACCTGATATACTGAAACAACAGACTAGACGGCCAAACACCAAACTTGACAGTGGTTAACTCCTCATGGCAGGGGATGAGGGAATGCTTTCATTTTTCTACTTTACTCACTTTTGCACTGGTAGAATTTTTTACAATTTTGTAATTTTTAAAAACTGGTTTTTGTAAAGTTTATGAGCTAGAAATTAGTTGGTATGTGTCCTGTAGGAAGGGCATGGGAAGGTGACCTCCGGGGGTGTGTCTCCTTACTGGGTGCCTGGTAGTGCAGACCCTGCTTCTCCCTTCCTAGCCTTCAAGTATCTTTCATATTTCTGCCTCTGGCTAACATGAGGGCAAGTCAGGCTCTCCTGATTACTGAAGAAAGGAATTGCAACACAAAAATCCAGGCCTGTTGCTTATAAATGAGGATAGAGAGGGGAAGATCTTTAGGGGAAACCTAGCAACCAGCCCGGTATCCCTATGACGCAGTCTTCAGTGAATCCTCCCACCTGTGCTTGGGTCGAGCCCCAGCCCCAAGTAGGAAGGGCAGGTGGCTGGCAGGAGCGAGCACAGCTGCAGAGCCTTCAAGCAAAAGTGTCTTCCGCTTGCTGAGGCTGTGTTTCTCCCAAGCTGGGGAGAGGCTGCTCTAACAGCCACAAGCAATCTCCTCAGATCTGGTTGCACTTCCTACTGGGGTCTCAGAGTGGCCGCATTTCCCACGAAAGAATGAGAATGGTATCTTGGGCAGGGCAGCTCCCTCTCTCCCCCCTCAGCTCCTCCTTTCAGCCTTCCAAGCAGTCCTTGGTAGCTGAGGGGGAGGTTACGGGGGAGGTTACGAGAGCTGGAGGGATTTTCCCCCTATTCTCTGGCCAAAAAGGCTTATTTATTCTATAGGAATCCTGGGTGGTACAAATGGTTGAGCATTGGCTACTAAATGAAAGGTTGGTTCAGACCCACCCAGAGGCATCTTAGAAGAAAGGTCTGGCAATCTGTTTCTAAAGGTCACAGCCATGAAAAGCCTGTGGAGCACAGTTCTACTGTGCACACATGGGGCCACCATGAGTTGGAATCGATTCAGTGGCAACTGGTTATTTGTTTTCTATTTTGTTGCTGTTTTGATTCTTTTTCTTTCATTTTAGAGTTAATAGCACAAAGAAAAAAAAAGAAAATTGTGAAAAGAATTGAAAACGTAACCAGAAATTCATAAGAAATTGACAACAAAAAACTTTATCCAGAGCAATACCACCTCCCACCTCCCAATCACAACCACACCCCTTCCCCATCCTCAAGACTGGAAGAGTACGGAATACTCAGCCCTACACAAAACAAAGGGTTTTTCCTTCCCCCACACCTAGGCCCTAAGGGGGCTGGATGGAGCTTTCTGGACCTGGCAGGCTCCAATGGAGGACAGAACCCCAGAAGGCAGGAGAGGCCCTCAAAGACGGTGCCCAACCCAATTAGGGGCGGTGGGGGTGGTTACCCTCTGCTAGGAGCTGAGAGCTGGCACAGGAACTCACTCCTCAGGAAGGGAGATGGGAAAGAACTTCTGGTACAAACCCCAGAAAAGAACTATGAGGCTGGTTTATTTAAAGATATAAACAGAAGGCCAAACCTCAAACTTAAACCTGAATCAGGGTTATTTTACCTGTTTTCATTTGAGGGAGGTGGCTGCCTACAGTAAAGGAGTCACCACTCCAGTGTCACTCATCTGGCCTCAAATGCTAACCCACTGTGAAGGAACAACTTCTCTACACTGCTGGCCAGTACGTAGCCACTAGCCATTAAGTGACTACTGAGCACTTGAAATGTGGTAGGTCCAAACAGATACGCTCTAAGTATAAATACATACTGGAATTAGAAAACTTAATATATGGGAAATAAAAGGAAGGTAAAATATCTCATTAATTTTAAAATATTGATTACATATTGAAATGACAATATCTTGAATATACTGGGGGTAAATATATTAAAATTAATTTCACCTTTTAATACATTTTTTTAATGTAACTACTAGAAAATTTAAAATTACATATGTGGCTCGCATTTGAGGCTCATGTTATTTTTCTACTGGACTATGGTGGTGTAGAGTGCATTTAAGATTAATGGGTCTTTTCCCTAGAAATTCTGATTTAGTAGGTTTCGGTGGAGGCCTAGAAATTGTAGTGTCCCAGGTGGTTCTTATTATCAGGCAAATTCGAGAAACTGGTGAGGTAGGAGGGCTGTTCACCTGGGTCTGAGGATGAGCTTCGTGTTGTCTGTGAACTGAACTTAAACGCAAAATTACATGCATAGACGTATTTTCGTAAAGCTACAACTTGTGTCAGACTCTCAAAGGATGACTTGAAAAAAGTGAAGAACCATAAACTTGCTAATCCAAGTCATTTTGAAACCTCTACCACTAATGGCAGAGGTTCCTTCTAGTTTCTCATTCACCTTGGCTTTCAGTTAAGGAAGGATATACATGGTAGATAATAAAGTTAAAATGAGAACTTTCATAGGTTCCACGTATATGAGAAAGTAAAAATTAAACACTGCACATTCCACTTGCCCATTCAATAATAATGCATTTATATACGGTATTCTAGAATGCCTAGACCTGCATATTCCCTTCCTTCCTTGTTTTCTTATTCCCACTGCCATAGGCACTCAAAAACATAAGCAGCCTGCTCCATCAAATAAAAACAAAACTGGTGCATTACAACGTTGCTATAAAACCCAGGACACCTTGTACACACATGGACTTCAGTCACAAGTCTTCCCCCTCCCATGTCTGCACCTCTCACCAAAAATGAGTTATTTCCAGTCACAAAAGGTCCTCTGAGTCTTACTCTAACTACACAGTCAAGGAGATGTTTTCTTTTAAATTGAAACAGTTTTAAACAGTGGAATATACTGAAGACACACAATTTGAGATGCAGACTCAGGGTGGGCATTTCAGTGTGATAAAAAAAAATCCATGCTGGGTAGGAGAATGAATGAGCATCTGAGGTAGTAATTGTCAGGGTACCTGGTTAGTCTGGAAAGATGGCTTTCTGAGTAATCACTGAAGAAACCTTTTTCCCTAAAATAAAAAGGCAAGCGGCAGTACTCTGTGATTAGAGAGAGTCCCAGTGAGGAGCTGCAGGAGTCAGTAGGGCA